TATTCTACCAAGTTGTTGCTTACTATCACTCTTTTAGGACATTGTAACTATTTAATTATTTTTTCACTTTTTGGTACTTTTTTAAGTGTACACTTATTGCATGCTTTTAGTATTTCTTGTTTGTTCTTTGATTTTTTTTTTTAGCAAGTCAAATCGGTTCTTCTCATCCTAAACATTTAATTGTGCAGTTAACCCTGTGTTAACCTTGCATATGACAATTAAACACAATTTGAACAAGTCGGATGTTAGAAATGCATCTGCCAGGAAAAAGCCAAAGAGGAGGTATATGGATGCAGTTAGAGAGATCATGGAGGTAGTTGCAATGAGGACAGAGGATGCAGATGACAGAGTGGGATGGATGACTCTCTGTGGAGACCCCTGAAGAGGGAAAAGCCAAAAGAAGATGATGGAAAAAAAATTAATACTGCGAACCACACAACATGTATTTTCCTGCTTTGATAAAACACAACTACTCAGTAAAATCTTTTTTGGAAAAATCTTTGTTTTATAATTATCATATACTAAAAAAGTGCTAAAACAAATTTTACATCGACAGTCAACACCACTATGTACAAACTAATAATGACAGGTTAGTGAGCAATACAGTAAAAATATAACATTTTATCAAATTAACAGATTTTTACAGTTTTAGATCACAATTATTTTAGTGTTTTATCACATACTCTGACAGGACACAGTTGTAAGATCACTGCGGAAAAGTCAGTGTGTTTAAGAGAGGTGGGACTCGGAAGTAAATCCAAACATTGTCCCATAATTGCAAGAGTGGACATGGAACCGGACTGGATGAAGGACGATAGACAGCAAGACGTCCACGCAAGAGAGACACTTGCATAAGCTGAAAAAGAACAACAATAGAAAGTTGTTTTGGCTATAAAACTTGTTGGTCCCTTGCATTTTTGCATTTTTAATTTACAATGTTATTTACAGAACTTATCAATCTGAAGAGAGGAAAGTGCATGGGTGTAACTGCAATCATGAGATGTTTAAAAATGCAAAAAGAACAATGAGTTATACAGTATTGTAGCATGAAGATGTGCTTCCCTAACTATGACCTCTGAGCTGACTCAAAATGAACTTTTTTCTTTAACGTTACTTTTAACTTGTATAATGTCTGATGTGTTCACACATTCACTGTCCTTGGACTCAGTCAGCTACAGTCTTATGTTTACCTTTTCTTCTATGCTTTTAAGAAGAAAAACAGAATTTCAATTCAGTTTATTTATACAGCACCAAGTCACAACAGAAGTCATCTCAGGGCACTGAACAGAAACATTCATATATAAAAATAATAATTTAACATTATTTATCTGAGGAGCAGATTGCTTTGAATTTAACTTCATCGCAGAACTCTCATCTCGAGCAAGCATGAAGGCGACGGTGGAAAGGAAAAACTCCCTCATGAGGAAGAAACCTCCAGCAGAACCAGGCTTAGGACAAGCGGCCATCTGCTTTGACCGACTGGGTTTGACAGGAACAGATACACGTCTGCTCAAGAATCACGTTAAGATAGAAATAGTATCAAATGAATAGTATTCAATTGAAACAATTCATTTACGGAAATAAGGTCAATTTATCCTCCAGTAGTCTAAGTCTATAGCAGCATAACAAGCCAACCCTAACTATAGGATTTATCAAAAAGGAAAGTCTTAAGCCCAGTCTTAAAACTGGACAATGTGTCAGACTTACAGACAGAAACTGGAAGTTGGTTCCACAAGAGAGGAACCTGATAACTGAAAGATCTTCCTCCCATTCTGCTTTTGGAAACTCTAGGGACCACGAGTAAACCTGCAGTCTGACAGAACAGTGCTCTTTTAGGAAAATATGGAATAATAAGTTCTCGAATATAAGATGGGACTAGGTTGTTGAGAGCTTTTTTTTTTTAGCTTAGAAGTAAAATTTTGAAATCAATTCTGGACTTAACAGGGAGCCAGTGGAGAGAAGCTAAAACTGAAAAGATATTTCTCCCAACTCCAGTTAAGACTCTGGCAGCAACATTTTGGATCAACTGAAGACATTTTAAAGAACTATTTGGACACCCAGATAAACCATTGCAAAAGTCCAATCTAGACGTGACAAATGCATGAACCAGTTCTTCTGCATCATTTTTAATTAAGATGTTTCTAATTTTAGTGATATTATGCAGGTGGAAGAAGGCGGTTATAATTTTTTTTTATCACCGTCTTTTTATTAAAGTCTGTTTCCTTTTATACATACAAATAGGAACCCGTGGGTACAGAGGAGTCATACATATGTTTAAAAACATACTTAAACAAAAACAACAAAAAATACAATATAATCCCTACAAAATAATCCCATTCACTCCTCCCCAGTGCACTCCCTAGGTCTGTACACTGCACCCTTACGCCTGACATGAAGGGAGTTTGAACTTACTTGGCTTCCTAACTTCATCCCTAGCTGTCAGAAGAGTGAAACTGCAGATGGAAGTGAGGCTGTGCCATGGAAACACGTTTAACCAGCTCTAGCAGGAGCATCAGTGAGAACTCACCTGCTCTTCACAAGTTGAGGAGTACGGGAGTCGAAGGCAACTGAGTGGCATCCACAAGTGATGTTCTGTCTTCCTGCTCCTGTCCTCATCTAAGGACATGATTGTGAATTTAATAATACTGGAGTGATACAATAATAAGCAAGTTATTTACAGGTGTTTTTATTTATTTTACATTAATGGCTTTCTTACAGTTCAGTTTCATTAACGAAATACAAAAGAACTCTGAAAATAACAGTGAACAATAAGGGTTCATTTATTTAAGATTAATGAATATTATTTATCGTGTTGTAACCTATCAATGACAGAATGTCTCAAACACGTGACAGAGAGCTGCTTAAAGATGTTTCCATTGCACAGCCTCACTCTTTCATTTGCAGTTCCCTTCTTCTGGCAATAAGTAAATATATAATATTAAATAAATATAATTTATTATAATTAATCATTATTAATTAATGACAAATATTTTGTCACTTCAATAAAAACAAACTGGAGTCAAACTAAAAATAACTTAAATGTGTAAATATAATATACTGGACTTACATTTTAAATTCTAATGTAAAAAAGAATTTAAAAAAAAGAAACGTAAATAAAAACTGAAAATAAAACACAGGTCTAGATCAACACAGAAAAATTAGAAATGAAGATAAAAATAATAGAGAATACACACCACTTAGAACACATAATGTACGAACTGGACAGTAACTCTGGTAAATAAGCACTAACATTCACACAACACAAACTATTTAATAATAAACCATGTAAATAAAATTACAATATTATTCTACTGTGTGACCTTGTAGGTCATAATTTTAATATTTATAGTAAAACTGTTTTCTCTTCTGTGTGGACTCTCATGTGTGTATGTAATAAAGACTTACGGCAAAATCTTTGTCCACAAACATCACAAGGAAATGGTTTGTCTCCTGTGTGGATTCTAATGTGTGACTTTAAATGTGACATTTGCCGAAAGCTTTGTCCACAAATATCACATGGGAATGGTTTGACTCCAGTGTGAAATCTCATGTGTGCATTTAAATTTGTTTTGCGGCTAAATCTGTGACCACAAAGTGAACAAGGAAATGGTTTGTCTCTAGTGTGGACTCTTGCGTGCATGTTGAAAGATGACTTATGACTAAATCTTAGTCCACAAACATCACAGGCAAATGGTTTATCTCCAGTGTGGACTCTCATGTGTAAATTTAATGAGGCATTTCGTCTAAATCTTCGCCCACAAGCGCGACAAGGATACGGTTTGTCTCCTGTGTGAATTCTCATGTGTGTGTTAAGAGATGTCTTTCGACTATATCTTTGCCCACAAACAGCACAAGGAAATGGTTTGTCTCCTGTGTGGACTCTTGCATGTGTGTTTAAAGATGTCTTATGGCTAAATCGTTGTCCACAAACATTACAAGCAAATGGTTTGTCTCCTGTGTGGACTCTTAGGTGGGTATTTAAATGAGAGGTCTGCCTAAAGTTTTGTCCACAAACGTCACAAGCAAACAGCTTGTCTCCAGAGTGGATTCTCATGTGTCTAGTTAAACTCGGCTTGTGGCTAAACCTTTGACCACAAACATCACAAGTAAATGGTTTCTCTCCTGTGTGGACTCTTGTGTGTGTGTGTAATGATGACTTTCGGCTAAACCTTAGTCCACAGACATCACAAGGAAATGGCTTGTATTCTGGGTGGATTCTTGAGTGTATGCTTAAATCTTTTATACTGGTAAATCGTTTATGGCATTCATTACATTCTTTTGACTTTCCTTTTGTCTGAACCATCCTGTGTGACTCTAAAGCGTTTTTCACTCCAACGTGTTTCCTATTATCCCAACAGCTTGAAGACCTTACTCCTGGATGACATGTCATGTGTCTCTGAAGAGACAGGTGGTGGACATACTGCTTACCACACTCAGAGCAGCTCAAATATTTGTTGACAGCATTTACATCTGACTCTGGAGCCCTGATCTCCTTCCACTCTTTGTCACTGTCTTCATTTTCTGACCCAGAGTCTGACACGTTCTTTAGCCGAGAGTCAAGATTGTTTACATCCTCGTCTTCTTCATACTCCTCACTGAGTTCAGTCTCTGAAGAGCTGGAACTGTCTTTGTGAGTATTTACATCTGTGTTCCTGCTAGTTTGTGTTCCTTCACAGTCCTCTCCATCGACTGCTGCTTCCATCTGACAAGCTGAGCTGCTGGCTAGTAGGTCACTGTCCTCTATTTGATACTGATAAAGCTTTGAGAACAGAAGCTTCTCCTCATCATCTTCACTCTTCAAAGATACTAAAGTAACAGAAGAGCTGGTGTCATCAGCCTCCTCCTTTTCATTGAGTTGATCTCCCTTCAGAGTGGTCCAAGGTTCCTCCTCTTCCTCTTTTATGTTGAGGGGTTCTGGGTTTGTCTGGTCCACACCAGGCCTCCATTCTTCAGGAGCTTGTTCTTTAATCAGTACCATCTGTTGAACACGTGCAGGAACCACTGAAACGCATGTACATTAAGGACAATATTACCCTTCCATTCACACATACATCACTTGTGTTGTTGCTCTTAGTAAACAGGGTTCACTGCTTCACTCTTACTGGAGATATTATAAGGGCTCACCAGTTATACTGGTGAGATGTAGGAGCTAGCATATTTTTAGTAAATACTATTAAGTATATAAAGACGAATTTTGAACAATAAACACTATTAGAGAAATACATCACCTACAGAGCACCACCTGCAATTAGAAACTCATAACTAAGCTTTAACATCTACTTCAAGTGTCTGTTGGTCTGTAGTTCTTGAGCTGGAACAGAGCACTTACAGAGCAGACAGTGAGGGTGTGAATCTGAACACTGACCTCTGTACACCAGCATTTACCATAATAATAACACACTATGATACCACACTACTTCTTTAGAAGTAAATATATATATATTTATTTTTATGATGGCTTCTTTTTTAGGGGTTATGACAGCAAGCTAACTTGCACAAAGACTTTTGTTGCAATTGTTTATATGCCTAGGCGCAACCACTGACCACCAAGCCACCATAATCCACATGTGGAGCTGGGGCCTGCCATCTAGGGTGCCTGGGTAGCAGATGTGGGGGTTGGAGGCCTTGCTCAAAGGCCCAAAGTAGGCCAATGAGAGTGTAGGCAGATGGTGATGCTTTACATGTCCTACCCACATTTTCTTGTAACGGTCAGACGATCCAAACTGGTGACCTTCCAATCACAGGCTCACATTCTCCAATCTTTGTGCCACCATTCCTGCAAAAATATAGTTAAAGTTAGATGACTAAAATCAATTAACAACCTTAATAAAACAACATTAACTACAAGACTTATCATACTATGTATAAATATGCAAGCAACAACAAATGTCTCAAAAGAAGCATGCATATGTGTGTATGCATCAGTCTTTTTATCTTTTGGGTAGCATGATGGATTAGTGGTTAGCACTGTTGCCTCACAGCAAAAAGGTCCTGGGTTCAATCCCTGGTTTAGACCTGGGGTCTTTCTGTGTGGAGTTTGCATGTTATCCTTGTGCTTGCATCGGTTTTCTCTGGGTACTCCATATCCTTCCACAATCCAAAAACATGCGCTGCCTTCGGACCCATGCCTCCTTTACAAGAGATCTGTGATCTCAATGGGATTTGCCTAGTTAAAGAAAGGACGGACACACACACACACACACACACATACACACAGTTTGTGAGTGAACCAATCACCCCTACCATTTGAGGTAACTATAGCCTCTTATCCACAGGTCCGGTTCCTGTAGGACCCTATTGGGGCTTATTTAGGCCGGTTCCGGTGGGACCGGTTTATTTCTGTCTCCACAGTGCCCATAGTTCCCCTTTAGTGGGCGTATAGTTAACCTTTAGTGGGCGGATCATTAATGTCAACGCGCCTTACCAGCTGGTGGTGCTAGTGTTACATTAAGCTCTTTACTAACCACCACTAACTATGTGTTCTAGTTTTTATATTGCCTCAATGTATAGTTTCCTCAAATGACTGAGGTGGCTACAGTGACCATTAATCTGTGGTGGCCATAGCCACCACTGGCCACCCCCTGGCACCTCCATTACACCTGGTGGTGGATAAAATTCATTTTTTTCTCTTGCCTGGATATGTCACTCAGCGCTGCCTCAGGCAAGACAAAAAAAACAAAAAAACACCTCTGTTCTTGTACACAACGTAACATATCCACTTGAATATTCTACACAAAAATAGATTAAGGTTTTCGGGCAGCCCCTGTCCAGTTACAGTCCAGAAAAACATTAATTTCATAAAAAAACAAACATTCACTTTTATAATCCTTCAACGACAAAAATCGGCGTTCCGCATTTTTTTACTAAAATTACTCATTCAGATTTTGTTATTCAGACTTCGTGTTAAATGTTTAATGATAAATCTTTTAACAACTTGTCACGTCTGTTATTACTTTTGTACTTATCCTGATGCATGCTCAATAATCCAGGTAGAAAAATCTAAAAAAAATTAAATCTGGTCCTCTGGACATTCAAAAAACAAAACAAAGCAAAACAACACAAAAATGTAGAAACGTTTCGTCTTTCATCCGAAATACTTCCTCAGTCTGAGGTGCTGTATTCAGCTCAGCACCTCAGACTGAGGAAGTCTTTCGGATGAAAGACGAAACGTTTCTACATATTTTTGTTGTCGTTTTGCTTTGTTTTGTTTTTTGAATGTGCAGAGGACCAGATTGAACTTTTTTAGACTTTTGTCCATCTGGCTCCATAAGTGAAATGAGCTAAATACTAAAGTAAATGGTAATAAATCACGTGTGAAATAACAGATAACAGATTTAAAATTAAAGAGTAGTAATGTGGGTTTTCATCGGCTTTAGAAATTAAAGAAAAAACACTAAACGTTCAAAAAGCCACTTACTATCATCACTTTGATAGCATGCTAAGCTACCAATATTGACCATCTTCAGCTGCTATAGGAAGAATGAAACGGTACAAATCCAAATAATTCATTGTTGGGTTGAAAAAAAGCCTCTAACATGTTACTCTCTTGTCCATTCTCCTGACTCATGACGGTTCATGTCCGTAATATGGTAATCTCAATGTTTAGCTACACACTGCTGCCACCTCTATGGCTGCCACCATAGATATAAACACAATATATGATATCTATGGCTGCCACCAGTGCGTGTCTGATCTTTTCCGGGTCAAAAACCGGAAGTACTTCTGTTCCCACACCAGAAACACGCAAATAAAAGCACAAATAACAATTTTATTTATGCCATTTTTTTTAACGTTTTTTGTGACCTGTAATTTTTTTATTCTCAATATAAAAATATTAAACTTTTTAACTATAATAATTTAAATATTATAATTGGATCAGTTAAGATACATTTACAAACATTTAAGGGAGTGGTGGCACAGAGAGGGTAACTGGTAGAGCTGCTGCCTCTCAGCGAGCAGGTCCTTGGTTCAAACCCCGGTCCAGGGGCCTCTCTGGGTGGAGTTTGCATGTTCTCTCTGTGCATGCGTGGGTTTTCTCCGGGTGCTCCGGTTTCCTCCCACAGTCCAAAAACATGCATGTTAGACTGACTGGTAACTCTAAATTGTCCCTAGGTGTGAATGATTGTTTGTCTCATTTGTCTCTATGTGGCCCTGTGATGGACTTGCGACCCGTCCAGTGTGTACCCCGCCCCTCGCACAGTGATTGCTGGACATGGGCACCAGCGACCCCCGTGACCCAAAATGGAATAAGCGGGTAAAGATAATGGATGGATGGATGGATGGATGGTGGCACAGAGGTTGGAGAAGGCGAGCAAAGGTCACTGGTTCAATGGACTGACAACAAAATGTCGATAGGAAATGTGAAGCACCCACACCTGCCTCCCCCCTCATATGTCCCACTCTGGCCCCTCGAGCAGGGCCACCAGCTCCATGTGCACCTTAGATGGCCACCATAAAGATTGACTCATGATAATGCAAGAAATAGAAGTCAGCAGTAACAATTTGTTTATTAAACAAAATATGTAATTTACAACAATCTAATTTGAACATATATAGCAAATAAATTAAAAAGTAAATAAACATGAACATATTGTTAACTTAGAACAAAAGCAATACATTCAGTGATTTAATTTGCTTTACAATTCATGCATTCATTCATCTCTTCTCTATCCTTTCATCCACCCAGAAAAGAAATTCAAAAGTGGAAACGCGAGGCACACTCCTACTTTTGTAGGTGACACCTATGTGACACAAACATCACAAGAAAAGACGAAAAGAGGCGACCATTCAGCTGATCACATTATCAGCCAGGATTTTTAAATTTAAATTTATTTAAACTCAAGACATGAGGTATTTGTCCATATTTAAAGGCAAATAAATGGTAAATGGACTGTACTTATATAGCGCCTTTCTATCTAATCAAGATACACAAAGCGCTTTACACTACAATCTGTTTCCTCATTTACCCATTCATACAGCACTCTACTTGATCTCTACAAAGCTAATTGAACAAATCATTCTAAAGAGACTAATCAGAGCTTTAGATCACATTCATTCACCGATGGGACACACATCGGAGGCGATGAGGGGTTCAGTGTCTTGCCCATGGACACTTCGGCATGTGACTGCTGGTGGATTTGAACCCCCAACTCTTGCATTGGAGGATGACTGCTCTAACCACTCAGTCACAGCCACCCTATAAATATAAATATAAAATAAATGTTTATTTACACCCCCTCCCTGGGCCGCCACCTTACCGTGGTGGAGGGGTTTGAGTGTCCCAATGATCCTAGGAGCTATGCTGTCAGGGGCTTTATGCCCCTAGTAGGGTCACCCATGGCAGACAGGTCCTAGGTGAGGGACCAGACAAAGTGCAGCCCAAAGACCCCAATGATGAGAAACACAAATGGACCTAGTGTTCCCTTGCCCGGACGTGGGTCACCGGGGCCCCACTCTGGAGCCAGGCCTGGAGGTGGGGTACGCGGGCGAACGCCTGGTGGACGGGCTTTTACCCACGGAGCTCGGCCGGGCACAGCCCGAAGAGGAGACGTGGGTCCCCCTTCCCATGGGCTCACCACCTGTGGGAGGGGCCAAAGGGGTCGGGTGCAATGTGGGATGGGTGGTGGCCGAGGGCGGGGACCCTGGCGGTCTGATCCTCGGCTACAGAAGCTGGCTATTGGGACATGGAATGTCACCTCACTGGTGGGGAAGGAGCCTGAGCTGGTGTGTGAGGCTGAGAGGTTCCGGCTAGAAATAGTCGGACTCACCTCTACGCATGGCTCGGGCTCTGGAACCAGTTTCCTTGAGAGGGGCTGGACACTCTTCCACTCTGGAGTTGCCCCTGGTGAGAGGCACCGAGCAGGCGTGGGCGTACTTATTGCCCCCCAACTTGGTGCCTGTATATTGGGGTTCACCCCGGTGAATGAGAGGGTGGCCTCCCTCCGGCTACATGTGGGGGGATGGGTTCTGACTGTCGTT